CATACGTTTATTTTTTAGTCGTTGTACTTGTAATAATGAGTCTAGTATGTTGTCTAAATCGTGTTTTTTGTAAAACAAAATGAAAAGCTACTAACAAATTTAACAATGAATACACACAATTCGTTAAAAAATAAACGTATGTAGGTACATAAAACAAATGCTCAACGAGCTTTAAACAAAATGAAAGAAAATTCTCGAAAGAAAAAGTAATAAGTTCTAAAATACAAAAAAAAAAAAGAAAATAAACAAGTACCCTTACAACTACATTTTAATCTTCGGGCCCTTGTCTGAAGATACTCATCATCAGGGTTGAATCTAATCTTCAAGTCACTCACAGAAATCACAAAGATAATCCCGCCTAAATCTTAAGACGCTAAGATGTCTACTGGTTATCGGATGTTGTCGACCGATCGATTGTCCTCCTCCAACGCGCCCTCTTTCAATAACTTCCTTAAACGCGCTCTGCGCTACGTAAGCATAAACGAAGAAATCTGTTTGGTCCGTTAAATAAATTGCAATATTGCCAAGCGTAACATAATCATTGTTTTTTACCATAATTTTAACAATAATTGTAACAATTTTCTGGTTATTCTCATGTTATTAAAAAAGCTATATCATTTTTCCCTTTAAATAATAAATAATGGAGTAGATGGATGGGTACTCGACCCTCGTAGCCTAATAAAGAAGAAAAATTATTAATTTCAAAAACAAAATCCATAGTTTTGGCAGTGGTAGTAATTCGATAATTTTAAGGAATAAAAAGCAAAAAAAAATAATTAAGTTGTCCAAATAGGAGATTTATGAAAACAAGTCAGTGTGTCCCTTTTCTGTCTTATTATTACTTAACAAAAAGCCTAGAAATATAGTTAATATAATGAGTGGCAGTAGTTTATTAATAGAATTCTAGTACATTGTGGAATGAATACAGAATGCCATAAATATTAAAAAAATTCATTATTTATATTGTTTGCAGTAAAGCTTTTTTTGAATAAAAATTTCTTTTTATAGGGATTGGTTCGTACAAATGTACATATTTGGTATTTATAAATAGAATAAAATGATTACGAACGGGTAATAACTTTGGTTTTAATTTTAAGCGCGTAATAATCAAATTGACGATACATAGAAGCATGCACTGTCATGTTCATTTTCCTTAATATAGTCACAAATTACCTGACAGATATTCGGTTGTAGTAATTACAATTACACATTAATAATAAAATTTTCGATCGTTTTCCAAGAGAGCTACTAAATCGGTTGGTACATCGCAGTAGCGCCTCTTGGCGAAATGAAAGGGGTGTTCTGTAAATGTTTATTCAGCTATCTTTTGAATGGTAATTTTGCCCTAAAGTAGGGGTGATCAAAATTGGCAAAGTCCTCAATAAATTATGTGTGAGAATGGATGTATCTTGTTTCTAATTGCTACTGTAGTCATTTGTTGTATTTTTAACAGGCTCTTATTGGTAAACGTCTAGATGATGGCCCCCACACCCGAAGGGGGGGATGGAAAGAGGAGGTCTCCGCCACCACTGTACCACAAAAAGTTCGTGGCGGTCTCACCCCCATAAAAAGTGTTAGATGATGGCCCCGCCCCTTCGGGGGTGGGAGTGGTGGGTCAAAAGAGGGGGGGTTACCTTAGTAAAACCCCATAAAAAGTTCGCGGCGGCCTCACCCCCATAAAAAATTATGGGAGTCGAAAGTTGATTATTTTGACAATTTTCATACACTATAATTCAAATAAAATTCAATAAAACAATTATTTTCAAGCGGGTGGAGGTGGGGCATCGAAAGAGGGTGGTCACTTGAACAAAACCCGCTAACCTAACCTAACCTAACCTATTGATAAAGATATTTAAATAATGTTTTATATAACTTTAATATGAAGATTGGGAAAACTTTGGCGGTTGTTGTAGAACAAACAGAATAGCTCAAAACCCCAACGCCAAAACACGACACTGTAGTTGTCCGAAGCACTTTTTGGTAACAAAGTTACCTTCTTCAGTCCCTGTCGTGTTTTGGCGTTGGGGTTTTGAGCTATTCTGTTTGTTTTATATAACTCTCAATATTTTTATGTATTTTTCATTAGTTTTACCTTTAAATATTGTTTAAGAATGACTATATAAATATTTACATGCCTAGAAATGTATAAAAATTGGCATATTGATAAACTTTGAACCCCCATAATTTTTTATGGGGGTGAGACCGCCACGAACTTTTTATGGTACAGTAGTGGGGGAGACCTCCTCTTTCCATCCCCCCCTTCGGGTGTGGGGGCTATCATCTAGACCTTTACCCTCTTATTAAATAAGGAAAAAGGAGTAGTATAGACAAAGTGAAAAGAGATAATAAAATAACAGGTTAGACGTTGCTAAGGTCATCAGGGTCGGCTTTATAATTGCCTACTTGGAAAAATATATTTTTTAAAAAGCCTCCTGCTTTCCTAAATTCCTGAGAATGTTGAACTTCCTTTAAAGCCCGATGCTGGCAATATGCTCAGATGCTGCTTGTCTGCATCTCTTTCTGTTACACATCAATTGATGTAATGTTATTCCCCTTTCTTTATTAGTGTCCGCTGCAATTCCTACCTGGCATCTCTTTTCTATGTTTACGAAACGATATTGCTTACAACGTCTGTCGTGAGTAAAAGTAGGCGTTCTGTCAGCAACCGCTCTAGTCTAGTTAGTGACTTCAAAGAAGAAAGTAAATGCGACAGTCTTATTGCAGACTATTCTAATTTTGAAGCTGGAAGAGTGATTGGTCACACACACTTCCATTGCTTGAGCTAAAATTCGCATTTCTAGAAAATTAGAGCAACCTATATCTGTAACTATTGGTGATTCCACGTGTACTTCTGCTCCTCTTAATTCCCCCTTTCTGTTTCTAAAAGTGTCTTAAGTAACCCTTCATGCCTGAGAAGGTGACCCTCCAACATATCTTACCTACCTATTTCTTAATAAATTCCATAAAATCCTCTGTTGTCCTACTCTTTTTAATACCTCCACATTTTCATTCCAGTATTTTTAACAATCTCTTATAACGTCACATCTCGAATGTTTGTGACTTCCATCCTATTAAAGCTGCCGCTAACTCTTCCTTGCTAGATGTTAATACGACTGCTTTATTTTCTCAAACAAATTTCGGAAAATGCAAATGATTTTTCAATGGAGAGTATCGATGCAACTCTCAAACGACTTTGTGACATTGAATTCCGGAATAACGCCTTCATTCTTCAATTCGAAAAGCTTTTTTGAGATTTTAATGTGAACATGGTTGTTGATGCAATAATTTCTAATAATTTTTTTGATTCTATTAATATTTGCAATAGTTTCGTAAATAGATAACAGAAATGAAGACTGGAAAAACTTTAGCAGTTGTTGTCTACAGTGTCGTTGTTTTGACGTTGTCGTTTGATCTACGCTCGTCAATGAAAAACAAAAACACACTAGTTAGCTGAGTTGGATGCAGCTCATTTATTATCTTCCTAAATTCAAATGGGTTTAGAAGGTAGTGGTGTGGGTTTCTAAACCAGTGCAGCTCAGTTCAATAATATAAAGGATATTCCTACGCACTCCTCTAGAGTCCCAGTGGCATGTCCTAGAGCTAGACTTGGACCATTGCTTAACATTGGGGAGGACACCGGTTTGATTCCGTGTCCGTCTGTTCTGATCCAAGGTTTTTAGATCACTTGGGCTAGTAATATTATGCGGATACTCTGTCTTCATTTTATCCGTCTTATATTTCCCCACCGCGCATCCATTCCCACAATTCCTAAAAAGGAGACTACCGAAAACTACTCTCTGACGTAATTGGGAGCGACTGCCCGCCCATTCCAGCATTAGTAGCTGATGGGAATGAAACACCCAAAAGTATTTTGGTGCCACCATTGCACTCCGTCTGAAGCTGTAAGGTGTAATTAAAATACTCGAGAATATTTCCCCAACGAACGTATTGTCTTCAAGTGGTCAATGTATGGGGTGGAATTTTTTAGCAGGTGGGAACGAAATACCCAAAAGTTTTGTTTTCAAATCGACCAGAGTCAGAGGATTCATTAGCTCTACTACTCTGGACAAGACAGTTAACAAAAGGCGATCGGGTATGGTGTAGATTAGTATTGCAACAGACCCCTGCTTCCGCTTCCGCAATTGCGGAAGTTTCGCATACCTTTCCACATCTGTTTCTGCATCTGGTTCCAAACTTTTATTGCAAGAGCTTGGAGCTTAATTTTAATTTCTCATCTTTCTGAAAAGCAATATATCGGAACAATAAAACAAGTAAAAATTTATTATTTTTGTTCGTTGATTGAACCTGACCGTTTTCAAAACATAATTTAAACGAAATTGCTTGTTGATAAGTTGCATGTTTCCTCAGGTACCTGCGTCAGCTTTTAGCGACCCCACTGTAACATTGTGAGTTAATGGTGGGTTTTTCCAGTAGTTTAGGACCTAAATCTATTTCCTAGCATTTTATATGTTGATATTTTTCAAAATTTATTTTCCATTATATTGGTCCCTACTTTAATAAGTCATTGTTACTTTATACGACTTTACAAGAAAGCAATTTTCACATAATTTTTACAGTAGCTGTAATTTTATTCCGCAAAAATTTACTATTCAACTCTGTTTTTGCTTCTGTTTCCGTTATGACACTTCCATTGTATCACTAGTGCAGAAACACTAGATTATTTAATATGTCATAGTAATTTGGTAGCAATAAACGTAAATACGTAATTTTTTGTCAGTTCTGCAGCCGCCCCTGACCACCTACATTTGTTTATTCATTTATTCATTATCGTTCGTTACAGTTTCCATGTGTAACAACATATTAGTGAAATTAATTGAAAATCGAATTAAATATGTCGTTTTAAGCCTGCGGCCGATTTGAAATTTTATTAATTTGTAAAATTGATATAGAAAACCCTGCGGATACGATAATTGGGCAGTCAGCAAGAACGAACGTGCCACGTTCCCGCGGGACTTCGTTCCCTCCCGATTGCAATGCAAATCGTGTTTGCAGGATTCAAAACCATCAGTGGCAATCAGAAATATTGCCTTCACTTAGTTTCCTGATAGATTCGTATCTCATGTATACAGGGCAATCACAAAAATAATGTCGATTAGTCTTAAAACAGCTTTTTGGTTTCCTGGAGACATGGGTATTTACTATTCCTATTAAAAACTTGCGAATACTGTCAAATGTTTCGAGTATATTATCCCTTATTGCGTTTGCATCAAAAATATGGTAACCATGTAATGTAATTGAATGCGCTAAAGTTTAAATGACTGAAAAAATGTCATTATGACTAAACAAAAGAAAACCATCAATCAATATTGATGGTAATTTGATGCAAATGAACTAATGAAATAAAAAAGTAGTAAAATTGAAGAGAACTGTATATAATTAATGATAGAAGGCTTTACTTGTTGAAATTCCATAATCAATTAAAGGAAACGTTTCAAAAAAATATATATTAATATAAGACAACAATTGTTTCATCAAAATATTAGCTTCTTCAGGTGACGATATTTTAGGAATATTGTTGTGAACTCTTAATATATACTTTTTTGAAACTTAACTTTCGTTTCCTTTAAAATTGTATATATATTGCCTTTACGTGTTTCGCTACCTGTTCCCAATTAGTTAATGAAACTATTCGACGTGGGCATCTACTTTTTTCAATGCTTGCTCCGATGATCTAGAAAAGAGAGGCACGTGTACACATATAAAAAACTGCCTTTTTCCCTACACGTATAATCGCCAGAACCATTGAGACGTTTGCCATGATATCGAAATGTTCCACGTTGACTGTAAAGCATTGCTTACCCCACTATGTCTTCAAGATGAAAATCACTCGTTGGTGGTCGAAAACATCCCCTTTGAATTGTTTGGTAATGCCTGTTCTGCATTGCCATGGATGAAAACCGTGATCATCCACCGTATAGTGCAGATCTTGCACCTAGTGATTTTCAGTTTTTTCGACTATTAAAGGCATGATTGGGTTGTTCGTTCAGTCGTTTGAACAAAATAGACGTGAAGAATTTGTTATTCTTACGCAATTTCTTATCACCCTGTATGCAGTGGTTTGATCTGTGTATACCATATAATAATTGAATCTAGAAAGAAGAGATTCAAAATTGAAATTAAAATCATTTGTAATCCATTTAATTCTGCTCTGTTTTCTTAGTAAAGTAGATCGGTTCTTGAATACCAAATTTCATCGGTTTGATTTGATGGCCATTTAATTTATTAAACGTTAATAAGTTGCGAAAAGCCAATTTCTTTTCGCTTTCTGTTTCAAAAGCGAAAGAAATTTTAGTTTATAGAATTGTACCTAATCGTTTACTTTTATAATGCCTTTTTTTTTCATGTTTATTTAATGTATTTTATTTTTTTGTATAATAAAACTATATCATTCTGGAAATTAGTTTGAAGATTAAGTGCCTTATACGTATGCCATAAAATGTAATTTATTTTAATTTTGTGTAGAATTATATCATGTAATTTATATTGTTTTTGTTTCAGTGATCAAAGTTCATCAAGTGGACTAGTAGAAAACAAAAAGAAAAAAGAAAGAAGAAAAGACAAGGAAAATGCTGTTATGGAATCAAGTGAAGATGAAACAGGCGACGTTCAAGGTAAGAAGAAATTAACAAATTTATTATTGAATAAAATTATAAAACATTTGAATCGGGAAATTTATTATTAATTTAATAATTATTAACGGGGAATCATTTGGCGTGTATGTCAAGAGGAGAAAGAGAAGATTTTGTAAAAATAGTTATCCAGTTATATGCTTCAGTGTAGCTGTACCGGTACGGTAGATACTATTTACGTCATTTATTTTAAAATTTTAAAATTAATTTTTGCGAATTTAATATAATTGCTTAAGTAGCTAAATACTTGTTGTATTTTACGAAAAGAGAAACGTTTTATTTTGCATACAAATAATTCTGTTTTGTTTTTCAAAGCAACTTCATTTTGATATATTTCTAAAGAACCTAAATATGCAGGGTGTTTCTGAAATAAGTAGCAAGCTTGCAGGAGGTGATAGGGCACTATAAAACAAGAAGATTAGGTATACGTTTAGTGGACCGAAAGTCCACCGTTTTCGAAAAAAACGTATTTGAAAATACAGTCCGATCCTGGAGGGAAATACGACATTACAACGCCGCATTCCATCAGGTCCAATATCCGTGTTGTACGAATATTTCTATTAAATTTTGTGTTCTTAATGCAAGGTTGAGGTTTATTTTTAAATAGTACTACACACTATCGGCGATGAACAAAGTAAATATAATTAATTGTTATCGCAATGGGCGTCTGAAGATTATTATGTGTAGTAGTGTAGTGGTAAGCTGTTGATATTTACTTTATTAGTCATCCCAAAACCGTCACTGTTTACAGTTTTCATCGAAGTAGTTGCATTTTCTGTATACGTTGCCAATTCACGTCCAGGGCCGGCTTCGGGTTGCAAAATCGTTACAATTTTTTCTATCCCTTAACTACGCTGCTTTACTTACCTATATTATCGACTTAATACTCGCCAAAGCTTTCTACCCTGTACAGACTTAACTAGTTTTTTTACCATTAAAAAATTTTTTAAGTAAATTATTTAATCAAAATGACCACGATATGTAGTATATTTATTGAACATTTCTTTGTCGAATAGTTAGTTACAATTCCAGCATTTACTTATTTTCCTCGTTGTCACTTTTCTTCTCACAATTGTCGTCTTTGGATTCGTTCTCTTTGCTGTCTGATTTCTGCTGTTCTGCATCGTTTATGGTCGTGGTTGTTGTTGTTACGTCATCGTCGGTGACATTCTCATTCGAATGACATAGTTTTCTGTGTTTGTGGACGAAGTAGTAGCTGGGAAATTTCGAACCGCACATCTTACACGGATAATATTGCACGTTCAGATCGAGCAGCTTCACTTCTCGTTTGCTGGTGGACACTTGCTCCTTCTTATGTACAACTTTCGACTCCAGCACCGGATTCAAGTGTCTTCTGGCATGTTTCTGATAACAGTATTGACTCTTGAACGTGTGATTGCAGTAGACACACTTGAAGACGTCTCCGCTAAAGTTCGACCTGTCTTCACCCGCGTCGTCCTTGTTTTGTTCTCTGATGTTTTCGTTCATTATTCTGTTGATTGCTTCGTTTTTGGTCGAGACCAACATGTGTTGATGGTGTTTGGGTGGGTTGTTTGTTGAATCGGTCTGGATCTGTCCGTAGTTCTTGTTTAAAACCCTGTGGAAACGTACGGGTCCATCGCAGCATGCCACGTCTATTTCGAATTTGTCGTCGGTAGATACGAAATTGCCAGGTCTCTTCTTGTTCTTGGAAGAACATTTCTTTTCCTTACCGGAACTTGCGTCTTCTATATGCTGAAGGGGTTTTGAGTTCAGATGGTGATGCGTGGAGCTAGCTTCAGTTTTTTTCTTTGTTTTTGAACAACTTCCATTTGTCTTCGCCGATCTTGTAGGAATTGTATGATCTTCATTTTGCTTCATGTCTCGGACACTTGAAGATTTGGCGTGTTGTAGAGGATTGTCGTTATTATTATCATTAGAATCGACTTCTGTACGAGTTCTGGTGACGGCAAAGTCGTTGGTTGATGTTATTGAGGATAGTTCGTTTTTCAAATTTTTGAACGATGTATCTCTCGATTGTCGAAGACAACCAAAAAGGGGTGGATGTACGATCGCTTGTAAGGGCATAATGGCTTTCCTGCTTGGGACCGGTTTGATGATGTTGGTACGCGTTTCGATTTGTTGGTTGTGAATGAGGAAGTTACGACATAGCTCCATGGCGCCGGGCATATGGAGGATATGGGTAGCCAGAAGGATGTTGTAGATGTTGGTGAGATTCAGGTCCAAGAAGCCTGTGTACATAAACGTCAACAGAGATGAAAATTCGTCCACGTTCACGTTCGGAACCGTGATGGGTTCGTATCCTAAAATTGAGAAATAAAATTTCAGTTGCATTTTAAAACACTTACACTAGCTGTTATAGCTCGTGTACCTGTATGATTTGTCAAGGCGGCCTTGAAAAATCCGCTGTTGAATGAAAGAATTCGTTTGTGCGCGGAAAAATGGGTGAGAGAGGGACCAACGAGTAGATTAACATCCGGACTGCCTGAAGTGTTAGACGGTTCTAAATGTAGATCACTCTGTACATTTGGCATAGAACATCCCGGACTCATTGAAAGCCACGCTCGGTATAGAGAGTACATGTTTTGGTAGATTTTTGTTGCTGTTCGGCTATAAAGAAAAAGAATATTAATTAAAGTTGATTAAAGTTGACCTTAGAATTGCTATCAAAATTTTGAGACATTTTGATTAATTACAAAATCCAAATCTTGCAGATTTGACTTATTTGGTGTTTCGATTTGAGATCAAAATACCTTAAAAATTTTCAGGAAATTATTAGGGAATTTTGACAAGAATCGTGGAAATTAATTAATTTTTTAAAAATATTCTGAATTTGTTTCAATCATCATTAAATAATTTAATTTATTATTCATTTTTATTTTTTTTTTAGTTTCTCGCAATGATAAATATCATTTTTGTAAACACTATCAATTAATTGTACTGGAAAGGTAAATTAGGGGTAAATTTAAAATCATTTTTAGCGGCCAGCACCCTGTTCTGTAACCAGATTCTAATTTGTCTTTAAATCTAATTCAGCAATAAAAAAAGTTGAAGAAAACTACTTTCTTGGTTGTTGTCCGTCAGTTTTACGTACTAATTCTCAAAAATTGAATTTATGAAATTTGACCCAAGTTAATCCCTGTATTTTATTTACGAAAATACTTTAATACTTTCTTCAAAATAATAATTATCTTAAATACAAAAAAAGTGTGTTAATTTTGATAGAATAAAAAGCCTAGGTTTTTACAAAGAAAAAGTTTATAATGTTCAGTATCATACTCTGGCAATTTTTGAAAAGATAGAAAAGGGGGGCTGAATAGTTCCAGACTGTGCAAGCTTGTTTTTTTGGGAAAATTTATATTAATGTCTGGTTTTTTTCATCAAAAATTGATAATTGTAACTAAAATATTATTTTTTTTATTCTCTTTTAAAATGAATAAAAAGATTTTGAAATATTAAATTGCACAGATATCTAGATAAAAATTAAAATCGATTCGATTTTGATTATACAGATTATTTTTTTTTATTACTAGATTGTCTAATTAATTTCGAATACTGAGTTTTAACGATTGAAATTTAATTACTTTTCATTAAGTTATCGAATAATACTGTAATTGAAAAACTAAATTAAAAAAAAAATCATTATTACCTTTCGTTTTTTTTTTTTGGTTAAATATCACTTTTCGTATATCTATTAAGTAGATAAACTTCTTACAAGAAGGGAAACAAAATATCACTTTTGAATTTGGAATAGTACCCGAAAGTAAGATCAAAGTTGGCTTGTTGCACGTTTATCATTTGAATGAACTTTTCACGGGGGTTGATTGGTTAACAACTGAATTACGATATCATCTTTGACGGTTTATAGTCATAAGTTGCGCACTCTCTTTGTCTCCGTCTCATTCCATCTTTCTCTCTCGGTTTTTCGCGGACAGGTATTGTGCACAGATATATATATATATACAAAATAGGATGAGGTTTCGGCGCGGGCACCGTTAAGGTCCGAGGGGGGCATGAGCCGTTTCACCTAACTAACTACTACCCCCTTTACAAGCTAATTCCCTCTTCTCAAATCATCCACCGTTTGGACGTGTGTGCTATCAATTTTTTTGATTGAGCGAAATAATTGAAATACGGTGGTGATTCAAAACGGAAACGTACAAAGTATTTTTTTTCTGTCTGGCGATAAAGAGGAAGGTAAATAACACCGTTAGAGGGATAAAACAAAGAATAGTGCAAAGTCGGGTAGAAACCGGTTTATTTGGAAATTTAAAAAAAAAAATATATTAGAAAGAGTATCATTGGAGAACGGCACTGTGATGGTGTGTAACGTAGACGATTGTTGTAGAAAAGAAGCGTCAAATTGTAAGATATTTTTGTAATTTTTATAAATGGATGCAAATGACGAGGTTTTAGACAGAGTAGGAGAGCACACGATACTATGGAAGTCAACGAGAAATATTTGAGATAGTTTGGTAGGACACTTTCCGAGATACGAAGATAGCTAGAGACTGAAGCAGAATCAGGAGTTAATAGTGACAGAGATACGAGGTCTGTTCGTGTCTTTTCTGTACTCCTGTCTCTCACTTATACCCACAAGTTCGGCCATGTTGATTGTTCAGTTAATTTTTGATAGTTGCTTTGCTTGTTTTTTTGCCTATTCCAAAGAATGGATCAAAGAATCTGTATCAAATTTTGTGTGGAAAACAAAATAAGTGCTCGGACGTATTCCGAATGTTGACTGTGGCATATGGTGAAGCTACCTTGGATCGAAGCAACATTTATCGGTGGTACAAAATGTTCTCAGAGGGCCGAGAAGATTTGAACGGCAAAGAGTGTGTCAGACGCCCAAACACGTCAACAACAGACGAAAACATTGATGAAGTGAAGAAAATAGTATTGTCCAATCGTCGAATCACCGTTAGAGAAATTTCTGAAGATCCTGCCATTCGATTTTTTGCAATGATTTTGGACATAAAAGGGATCATCTCGAAATTCTTACCAAAATTGATCAATTTCAACCAAAACCAACATCGCACTAAAATTGCTAAGGAGCTGTTGGACTCTGTCCGCGACGACCCATATTTGCTCCAGAAGGCCATGGTTTATGATTATGACGTGAAAACCAATCATCCCAATGAATGCTGCCGCACGAGCCAAGACCGAAAAAAGTTAGGTCGAATGTGAAGGTTTTACATGTCGTTGCTCGTGCGTGAATTTTAGGCCAAAAACAACACACTAATAATGCAGCCGCAGCCACCATATTCTCCATGTCTGGCCCACTGTGACTGTTTCTTGTTCCCGAATTTGAAGAGGCCGATGAAAGGACGACGGCATCGAAGGAGGAGTTGAACAAGATCACAAAAAATGATTTTTTGAAGTGCTTCCAGGATTGGGAAAAACGTTGGCACAAGTATTATATCTGGTGGGGATTATTTTGAAGGGGACAAAATGAATAAATAAATAATTTTTGTACAGGCCTCATAAACCTAGATTCCATTACTGATGTGGTTGTTTAGTTTTCGAGAAATACGAAAATTGACTCAATATAGAAAGAAATGGAGGAGTGTCTAACCGGTCTTTGGGTTGATGATGTTATGGTGATGGTAATGTAAGACATGTTACAGTAGAAGGAAAGTACTGAAATATTTCATAGTTGATTCCCACTTGAATCTTCAACACTACTATAAATAGATAATCTCTTAAACTACTGAATCTATAAAATATGAACAAGGAAGTTCATGGTGTTGGTATTCTGTGGAAACTGCCGGACGTTAATTGCGATTTCGATATTGTTGGACTTCATTAGCGCTTAGTAGACAACTTTAACAAAACACAGACCAATTGTACCCGTTGCCTTGACACAGCGTTTTATGAAATCTTGCAAACGGCGCGGTAAACGCCATTGATGGCACAATACTACAATCAGTAGAAATCAATTCATGCGTTCTGTCGAAGATGTCTGCGACGAGATCGGATGAGGTCGAAATCGCGATCCACGTGTGGCAGTTTCCACAGAATACTAACTATCATGAACTTCTTTCTTCGATTTTGGTAACGTGCCTACAAACTACAGCGTGGATTCAATTCAGCAAGTAGATATCCATCAACGCAAATTGATCTTGTTGAACATATCACATTCCACTAAATGTAGCATTATACTACAGATGGTGTTTACTGCGCCATTTGTAGGATTTCATACTGAATATATGTTAAAAATTCTTTGATTAATAAGACAGCTGCATCAGTTCTGTGGAGGAAAAATAATGTAGCGAGCACGAGCGTGTTTGTGTGCGATCGGGCATACGTGTGTGTGTGAGCGGCTTATCGATTCGCCGACTAGCCGCAGGCGCCTTTCTTCATGTGCGCCGTATTTGTAAACGTGTGTGTCGTACCTGCGTTCTGGGAAACAAAGAAAGAGAAACTTTTCCGGATGTTTCGAAAAGGTTCCCGAAAGGAAACAAAAGAGTACTTATTTAAAGGAACAGACGATCGCCGAAAGAGGAATAGAAATGAATTGACCGTTGCAGAAGTGAATCGAGAAATAAATTGACAGTGATAGAAGTGAAATAAATAGCGCAGTGAATAGTGATATATCAACAGTAGTGTAAATAAATAGAATAATTCTTAACCAAAGTTTAGTAATAATTTAATAGTGTTTTTAACTTCTTTAATAATTAGTGTAAATAAATAGATTTTGTGGTTATCAGTATTAGAAGTTAATTTTGTTAAACCCACGAACATTACAATAAGTAGTTTCATGTCGGAAGAATAAGCGTTGTTTGGCTAGCTTATTAGCGTGAACTGATCAAATGGTTGGATTATATACGTGATGAAAATATGGAGCATATGGATAAGCCATGGTGTGACATATGATGTAGTTAATTGTCAGTTGTTGAGGAGTTGGAAGTACCTAAATCAAAATATCTTTAAAGGATAATTTTCATTTTATGACTCCTTATGCTATTTACTTTTATAAGAACCGGTTCATTCCACTAATTTTTTCGCTAAACGTTATTATTTATCTGTAATAAAGCTTGTTGATCCTTTTTTCTATATTTTTTGCGATGAAACGAATTCAGTCGTTTTCAGATGAGCTGCTCTGTCGACGGAAGCTAGGTGGGCGGAGTAGGAGGGTCTTTTGCGGTTTCGACATAATTAATTTTTCAAAAGTACCGCAAACACTCGTCTTCAAGCTGAAATCTCGTAGCAAATTGAATTGAAAGTCAAACAGATGTTTGTTTGGATTGTAGAAATACATATCGTATAAATGCTGCGCCGCCCGTACCTATTCCACAATTTTCAATATTTCTACTTCCGTTTTTTTTTTCTGTTTTACGTCACCGTTTTGTTCCTTTTTTTAGAATACATTTTCTATTTAATAAATTGTCAATCGTCTAATTTTAGTATAACCATTGGTGAATTTAAATAAAATAATTCGAAGTGGTGTGTATTCTGTCGAAACTGTCAGACGCGGATCGCGATTTCGATCTTTTTGGATCTCATCAGCGCACAAACCAGCTTTAACCTAACCTGCTGTCTTAACAGTGCGTTTTAGAAAATAGTACAAATGGCTCAGCAAACGCCATCTGTACCA